AACTATGGTATCCTGGGGAGATCAACCTATCAATCTCTTCATCAGATACCCTGATTTGAAATATAGTCACCACAACGATTTATAGAGACTACCACTCAATCATATGCAGTTTGTTAAAAAAAAACGCACCAATCTTTTTTGGTCAAAATAACAAAAATTAAAACAAGTACATATTATATATAAGAAAGCTTTTATATATATATTTCCTTTTTTTCTACAAATAAGTTTAATTTAGACTATTTTATAATTTTTAAATTTTTGTTAAAAAAATACGCACCACTAGTCATTTAATATTTTGGCTTTATAAAGAGCAATAGCTCTTTTTTGAAAACTTTCAGCCAATCTCATTGTCATATCCGTGGTTATTTCTGCCCAAGACGTCTTTATGGTATCTTTAAGTTCGTTGACATTTTTAGGCTTTAATATGCATATTTTAGACTTAATAATCCCCCATAAGTTTTTAACTGGGTTCATGTCTGGTGATTAAGCAGGCCAAGGCAATAATTCCACATTTCTTTCTCTCAAAAACTCTGATGCGAGCTTTGATGTGTGTTTTGGGTCGTTGTCCTGCTGGAAAATGAACTGATTCAAACCCATTGATGCAGCAGATTCGCAGAGGTTTTTGGAAAGGATGCGCACATATTGAATAGCACCCATTTTATCCTCTATAACCACCAACTTTCCAACTTCATAATATGAAAAACATCCCCACACCATTACACTTCCACCTCCTATTTGACAGTTTTGTCAATATGTTCAGACAAATTCCTGTTCCAGGCTTTTTCCACACAAAGGACTTGCCATCGGAGTAAAACAAGTTGAATTTCGACTCGTCACTGAATATGATGGTCTTTATTTTCTCCATTTCCATTAATCACCATTTCTGGGCCAATTCAAATCGAAGCTTGACATTTTTTTTAAATAGTGATTTTTTAAACATTTTTGTCAAAGAAAAAACGCACCACTTGACTAAAATTGGTTTCCGCCTTTTTTAAAATAGAAATTAGAGCTTATCAAGATAGACATGGTTAAGCAACTTGATAATGTGACTCGAGCTCACGTAATTCAAACTCTCAAGCCTGGTCATTCGACAAGGGAGGTGGCCAAAATGTTTGGATTTTGCCACTCTACAGTAGTTCGTACCAAGCAAAAGTATGATAAATATCATACTTTTAATAATATCAGTAGAAATGGCACACCGAACGCTTCTTCTCCACAGGTTTTAAACGTAATAAAACACGAAATAAAAGGAAATCCTAAAAAATCCCTCAGTTGTCTCAACAGAAACAGGATCCTCTATTTCTTACGTTTCTGTTAAGAATATACTGATTAGTATGGATATGTTTGCCTATCGTCTTATTCAGAAACCAGTTTTAAGTTAAAAAATGTCAAGCTCCGATTAGAATTGGTCCAGAAGTGCTTATGTATGGGATTAGAGAGAATAAAGACCATCATATTCAGTGACGAGTCGAAATTCAACTTGTTTTATTCCGATGGCAAGTCCTTTGTGTGGAAAGAGCCTGGAACAGGAATTTGTCTCAACATATTGACAAAACTGTCAAATAGGAGGTGGAAGTGTAATGGTGTGGGAATGTTTTTCATATTATGAAGTTGGAAAGTTGGTGGTTATATAGGATAAAATGGGTGCTATTCAATATGTGCGCATCCTTTCCAAAAACCTCTGCGAATCTGCTGCATTAATGGGTTTGAATCAGTTCATTTTCCAGCAGGACAACGACCCAAAACACACATCAAAGCTCGCATCAGAGTTTTTGAGAGAAAGAAATGTGGAATTATTGCCTTGACCTGCTCATTCACCAGACATGAACTTAGTTAAAAACTTATGGAGGTTTATAAAGTCTAAAATATGCATATTAAAGCCAAAAAATATCAACGAACTTAAGGATAACATAAAGACGTCTTGGGCAGAAATAACCATTGATATGACAATGAGATTGGCTGAAAGTTTTCAAAAAAGAGCTATTTCTCTTTATAAAGCCAAAAGTGAATCGACAACATATTAAATGGAGGTTGTTTGACCGTGTTTTTGCAACTTGGTCATATTGGTAGGAAGACTTAGAGGAACGCACCTAGTCCGAAGTCAATTGTATGCAGGATCATTTCCAGAGTAGGACCGTTGACGTGGTACTTTCCCAGACGTATCGCCAGCATCGTCAGTGCGTCTCGCCATTCTTAGCATCACACAACAGCTCGTCAAAGAGACAGGTGAAGCCGATCCTTTGACTAAACGTGTGCTAAACAATTGTGGTATCTTCCCTTCTGCCCTGGGTCATACACGTTTCCTGTATCATCCTATCATACCTTCACTATTACAAATTTTACCGTGTTTATTTAGATATAGTGCGGTGTGCTCTTTTTGAGCGACATGAAACCTTTGCACTCCAACTGCCATTCCCCCCCCCTTCATCCTTGTAGAGGGAATGCTGATCAGAGTATGCTTTATTATTATGCAGTCCCCTATCCTAGTCTTATCCCAGCCTCTCTCTTGCTCCGTAAAATCCGACCAGGCAACAGGAAGATCGGCAAAAAGAAGACGACTGGAACAATATAATATCCTTACTTTTAGGAAGAGATCGCAAGTGGATGAGAAAGAAAGAATCAGAAGCAAAGAGGATATGTCTTCAGTGAGCCTTATCAAAACAAGTAGAACCACGACATTTGGG